GTAGAAAATATGTTGTAAGAATCACCGTTGAAGAGAGAGATATTGCTCCAAATATTCAGTTTGTTCTTCAAAATTGCATTAGCCTCTATTGTGTTACATGGTGAGGGTATTTATAGTGCTACAACTCAAATGGTAACCTTTGTATCAATTTACACGTGGCCTCATCTCCTCGGCCAAGACATTAAATCCTAGTCATCAAGTTGACTCTCCTAACTTTACAAAGTATTAAATGCTCTTACATTGACAAAACAAAATAAGACACAAATAAACTTTACATCAGTCACGTCAATCATTCATAAAAGATCTTCATCATAAGTGGATCTTCACATGTGGGTCCTCCGTAGCTGCTAAGGAGCCTTGAACGATGTATGTTCACCGAACCATGGCCTATCGTTAACAGCAGTGGCCTTGGAATAACAGTGACGACCTCGGAATTCACCTCTGAGGCTAGGAATAATGTCTTGATTTAATTAAGCTGGTCCCACTGCTAAAATGCCGTGCCACGTGTCGTTTTCATATATTGACCCGTAACANGAACGATGTATGTTCACCGAACCGTGGCCTATCGTTAACAGCAGTGGCCTCGGAATAACAGTGGCGGCCTCGAAATTCACCTTTGAGGCTAGGAATAATATGCCTTGATTTAATTAAGCTAGTCCCACTGCTAAAATGCAGTGCCACGTATCGTTTTCATATATTGATCCGTAACAATAGTCCCTCAAGTCCATGTGTGGTTATTTATGCCAGACGTGAACTTTCAATAAGTCAGGAAATGTTAAAATTTTCTGTATTTCACAATTATTCTGATTTTTAACATATGTATGAGTTTTACTCTATGCATGCTTTCCTAAGAAGATGACTTACACTCTGTTCAGTACATATTCTTTTAAAATTTATTTTTTGACAAATTCGTTTTTAACTATACACATATTATCCTAATAAAATATTTTTTTATATTTTCTTACTAACCAGGATTTCAAAATAATAATAATAATAATAATAATAATAATAATAATAATAATTACCTTTTACAAAATATATTCTTAAAAACATCTACATCAAATAAACCCTTATTTGTAAACATTAATTTTGGACACTAATTCGAGCTTACTAATAGATTGAATTGCTCGTTCGAATTTAATTAACTCTAATATTATTTTAAAATTAAATTTTATTAAGAAATGTAACTAAAAATTGTTATACATTGTTTAGCCTCCGTTTGGTTTGGTGTAAATTAAAATCAGGATTAATCTAAGTTAAAGTTTACAATTAATTTTAATAATAAATTTCATGAAATCTACTATTTTTTAACCATGTATTTCATCAACTTTTATCAAAATTTACTAAAAATCTAATTTTAATCTCCACTAAACATAGACTAGGTGAATTTTCTTCCTCAACAAGCCCAAATTTTGAAAGACAAACGGAAGTAAATAAATACAATCATGTTACACGTACATAATTATTTACAACATTCTTTACACTTTGCCACGTGACGGCAAACAATTGAACAGTTTAAAAATTAAACAATTTTTTCACTAATCATTTGTTAACAGCACATCAAATGTCAAGAATAATGTATCCTTCTAGTGTACATCTAGCATTTTTGAAATAACAAGAACAGAAATTAGAGAGGTAACGATTAAGCATTCTATCATCTATTTCCTTTCAATCATGTTAAAAGTATAAATTTTTTTGACAAAAAATCCTTACAGACATCATATGACGAGACATTATTGAATATCATTGAATGATGGAAAAGAAAGAAAAAAAAATAGTTCTATCACATTTTGCCACATCCACCTCTCCATTAAATTTTTCCTATTCTCTTGGCTTTATTAATTCCATTTTTAACCACATCTATTTGATGGGACAAATTCCTTTCCACGTGTGTACCTATCTCATTTAATGTACCAAGGCCTGCTTTGACTAGACTTTGTTGGTTTGGTAGCTATGTACTTGGTTCATAAATATTTGTCATATTTAATTTTGTTAAAAAATAAATTGATAGTAAATTTTGATAAAAATTAATTAAAAAATTATAAATTTAATAAAATGCATGAGTGAAAACGAGTTTAACAAAAAAATAATTTTAAAAAATAAGGACAGAGCATGGAAAACAATTTTAACACGTGATATTATCACAAAAGACTCTTGACTTCGCGTTTTATTTCAAGTATTTATAAAGCACCTGTTTGGTGCACATTTTGAGTTCAATAATACATTTTTTTGTTTTATGTGATGAAAAATATTATTTTATTGAAAATTTGTGATTGAAAATAAGTAGGAGAATAAGAATGAAAAAAAAAATGTGGGTGGCAAAATTTGTACATATTTGTCTTGCTTTTATGAAGTGAGTACACGAAATGATGGATGGAGAATTAATGCACAATTTTTCTTGTACGAAAAAGGAACTTGATTTGAAATGTAAAACTCATTCGGTTGGTTTTAATAAACATTATATTTTTAATAAATTTTAATATAAATGGATGAAATAGGTGATCGAAAATTTGTGGTTCATATGAAGTGTGTGATCGAAAATAAATTTTGAGAAATGGGCAAACAAAGCTGAAATCAAGCTTATTTGGTTCCTAGGAAGATGATCAAGTCCTTATTTGGTTCAATTGAGAAAATTAAAATTTAAGTCAAATTCAATAATTAATTTTAAACACACATTTTACGAGATTCGCAATTTTTCAATCATACATTCAATCAATTTTCATCAAAGTCTACTAATATCCATTTTTTATCCAAACCAAACAAAGCTAACTAAAAATCAAAGTGACTACATTTATTTAGTGATTGATATCTTGTTGCATAATACATAGAAAATCACAAATTTTCTACCCAAAACTAGCAAATCTTAAAGGTTAAAACACAGGCGAATTTACTGAATTTAGTATGTCGTTCCAATAATCCTTAACCTCCTCGAAACCTTCTGGAGCTGCAACAAGGTTGTAGTGATCAACAGAAATAGGCAGATCTTCTAGAGAGAGAACATTATGGTTGTAATGATCCACAAGCTGCATGGGATTTTCCAAAATGTCATTTGTCATAAGAGAGTTGTGGGGTTTTTGGGATCCACATAACGCACCCGAATTTCCGACAGAAATTGTGTTTGTGGAAGGGACGAAAACGTTTGGGATGGATTGGTGTGGTTTCTCGACGGGGAGCATACTGCTTGAGAAGTTTAAGGTAGATGTCGGAGACTCAAGGGTTCCACTTGGGGTGAAAAAGGATTTACATGTTCCCTGCCAGACGTTTAGTATATCTAAACATGGATGTGGCGGCTGTGGTGCTAGTGGTGGTAGAACGGTGGCGTACTGGTGGTGATGAGAGAAGTACGGGTTGGATACAAGCTTGGACTGGCGGAGGAATCTGGCTTCAGCTTCGAGTCGAGCACTTTCCCATTGTGCCATGTGGCTGAGATTGGCGGCGTTCTTCGATTGAGGGCCGCTGGAGTGGTTCTTGGGCTTATGAGTGACTGGATCAATTCCCAATCTGCTTAATCTCTTCTTAAGACGTGTATTCCAGTAGTTCTTGATCTCATTATCAGTCCTTTTTGGTAAGTGAGCTGCTATTGCTGACCATCTAAGATTATGAACCAAATAAGTACTTTTTCGAAAATAATTAAAAGAACAAACACATTTTGGGAAAAGAGAAATTTCCTTATATATTTGGAAAAGTTGTACTCAATTCTTGATTTTACCTGTTGCCCAAAAGAGCATGGAGTTGAATAATAGTCTTTTCTTCTTGCAAGCTGAATTTTCCTCTCTTAATATCAGGTCGCAAATAATTTGTCCACCGTAATCTGCAGCTTTTTCCACATCGTTGAAGCCCTACACCATAGAGAAGTTGATGAATATATTGCCAACAACTCCATTTTTACATTATATTTTACATATTTTCAAACAAAAAGTTTTTTTTTTTTTTTCTCCTTCATAGATAGAAGTCACACCATCTTCAAATAACACGGCAATAGTGGCCAAAGATTTTAACCCATGTTTGTCTTTCATTCTTTCAAGAGCTTTGATGTGGCGTCGATCACCAAAGCCTAGGTGCAAACTCGGGCCATCTATCTTTTCCCTTCTTTCAAAACCCTTTTTTCTATATACTCATTTTTAATTACACATTCCCACAACAAAACCCCTATTTGACAACCATTATTTGTTAAAAACTATGTTTTGAATAGTGATTTTTAGGAGAATGTGTGGTTAAAAAGTAGGGTAAAAGTTTTGGGTCGTACATAATATTTTATTGTGTGAATGTGTGATTGAAAATGAATACGTAGAAAAAATAATTTTTAAATAATAGTTATCAATCAGGGATAAAATATTCTACATGTAAACCCAAGACTTTTTCCTACCTTTTCATAATACATTCTTCAAAAAATCACTATTTAAAACAATATTTTTTTAAAAAAAAGGCCACCTAACATAGGCTTAGTTGCTTCAAATGTTACCGTAAATCTAGCACTAAATGATTCATTTATTGGATTTTTATTTCGAAAAAAAATTCTTAGTTCCATATAAAAATGGGACTAGATATATGAATATCACTTCATTTGGTTAAGTGATAGATTTGACGACCATTCAAAGCAATTATATCCTTGGCGACCTAGGTAAGTGCATGCATGATACAATATAATTACCCGCTTTAGTCGGGAGATCACGCCACCTTCCATGGCCATGTTGTTCAATGTAAGCTAACAACTTTTGGTCTTCTTCTCGAGTCCATGGCCCTTTCTTCATCTCCACCTTCTCCAGGCTCGTCGATGATTTACCCATATTAGAGTTTCCTAAACTAGATTGAGCTCTACACACACAACACACAGTAATATTCAGAGTGAGAACAAAAATGGAAGATTTGTGGGATCTTATGTCAAGAAATGGCGAAAATATATAAAGCTAAAGAATCTAAAACTATAGCTCTCTGATAGTTTTTTTTTTTCTTTTTTTGGGAAATTCAGTAAATATGTATTTAGGTAAGAATTTTTATGACTGAAGGTATAACTTTTAAGTTTCTATATATAGAGTAATATATATATATAATTACAAAATGCATGCATGGGATATAATTGCTGTCCACATAAATTTGTAATTGAAGCAGCCTCTGTTATGTTGTCGGGTTATTAATATGTGGAGTAGTGACGTTTCATACTGTGAAATCCAAGTGATTTTTTTATGAACTTAACGAGTGTGATATATAATAGTGTAACGTTGTCTTATAACAATAAAAACTAGTACTATGCTCGCAGTTCATTAGTGTCTCTATGTTCCCGGGGTTAGACCAAAAATTAAAGTATAAAGGTCTGTTTGACGTAAATTTTGGGAAAAGTTATTTTTTTTAGTGAACATGCGATTAAAGAGTAGGAAAAAGCTAAGAGGCCGTTCTCTTCTGTTTTGAGTTTTGAATTCATTTTGGGTTTTGTGTTTTGAGTGTCCATTTTGAAATGGTTGAAAATGTGTTCTTTTTATCATTTTGAAAAATTGTTTTCAAAATTAAAAAAACCTAAAACCCGTTCTTTTCCCAACCCTTCCCCTCTCTCTCCCGTCTCTGTTCCCGTCGCCAACAACCATCACCACCTTCCGTGAAGACCCATCGCATCCTCCATCACTACCCTCTTTCTCTCGTTTCTGTTCCGACTCACTCCAGCGACTCTCCACAGACGAAGCACCGCGACGTTGCCCTTACAGCGACGTTTTTGGTGTTGATGATGGAGGTAATTGGATCGGCGATCCAAGGCCACATTTGGAGTGGGTGGTTGGCGGTGGTCGCTCACCCATGCGCAATGTTGCAGTCCTTTGTCTTTTTGAGGTTTTTTTTTGTTGGCGGTGGTGGTTCTGTTGCGATTTTTTGTTGGCGGTGGTGTAGTGTTGTTATGGCGGGGGCGATGACGGTCGTGGATTTTTTTGGCGGTGGTGGGTGGGTTTTGTTGTGGCGGGGGCGACGGCGACGAGTTTCCTTTTTCGTTGGCGGTGGTGTAGTGGTGTTTATCTTG